AGGCTCATTTCTCTTCCAAGGTCAACATGCAACCAGCACGAACATGGCTCACCTTTTAACTAAATTAAACAAGCAGTGAATTAAGCACCCTTTAGTTATCCTTTAAGCCCTGCCTTGGCAATTTCTGTGGAAGGTTAGAGGTATGGCCAGCCTCCTTATATTTCAGTTGGGCTGTTCCCTCGGGTTTTGCCCCCAAACGCGTCTGTGAACCTGAATTCCTGTAGCCTCTTGACCCTTTCTCAGAAGTCATTCATGGACATAATGTCTTTCTTTCTCCTATTTGCTATGCATGTTCATTCCTCTCAGGAACTGGAAATGTAACCCTTGCCCCTACTTTCTGCCTAGTAATCATAATCATTTTTAAGAGACTTTAGGAAAAAAAATCATTGACATTGAAATTCGTATTCAAGACATGACTCCCAGATTTCAACCTGAACTTCTAAGACAATATTTTAAACAAACTTCCTACACTATTCTTTTAATGGTATTAATGTTATTCCCTTGCAAGATTTGGTAAGTACTAGTCATTCTCTAACTGTAATACTGTTATAATGCCATTGACATTTTCAGTTTTAACTGAATATTCATTTTTTTTCTTTTTAGCAGGAGCAAATTTTAATTTTAACTATAGGATTATAAATATTGGGCCAAGTTTTCTCGCCTAAATCAGAACACTGAAGAAAACACCCAGATAATGTAGGCCAACTATTCACAACTTTTATTCTGACTGAACACATAAGATAACAGACGTTCACTTATACAATATTCCCATAAGCACATCTAGGGATCTTTGAAATTCTCAGCCACCTACCTATTTATACCTCCACTTATTTCTCTCCCACCCAAGAAAGCATGTCATCATGCAAGACAATCCAAAAATAAGATTAAGAAAAAAATCTACTTGTTATAGCATCAAAAATAATAGAAATAAATTTAACAAAAGAAACACAAACTTACACTCTGAAAACTATAACACTGTTGAAGGAACTGAAGATTTTAAATAAATGTGGAAACAACCCATTCTCATGAATCATAAGGCTAAACATTGTTAAGATGGCAATAGTCCCCAAAACAATCCACAGACTCAAGGCAATCTCAGAATGCTGCCTGCCTTTTTGCAGAAATTGACAAACTGGTTCTAAAATTCATATGGAGTTGCAAAGGACCCAGAATAGCCAAAACAATCTTGAAAAAGAACAAAGTTGAAAGACTCTCCCACGTCCCAATTTCAAAACTTAACAACAAAGCAGTCATAATTAAAATGTATGGTACTGGCACAATAGAAGAGACTGGACCAGTAGGAACAGAACTGAGATTCCAGAAATAAACCCATATGGCAATGGTCAATTGATTTTCGACCAGGGTACCAAGATTATTTAGTAGGGATAGAATCGTCTTTCAACAAATGTTGCTGGGACAACCGGATAGTCATGTGCAAAAGAATGGAGCTAGACTCTTACCACACAACACATGCAAACGTTAAAGCCTTATCTGAAAAAGGATTAAAAACCTGAGAGCTAAAGCTATAAAAGTCTTAGAAGAAAACATAGTAGATCTTCATGACCTTGGATATGGCAGTGGATTCTTAAGATATGACAACAAAACCAAGAATAAAACAAGAAAAAACAGATACACTGGGCTAAATTTTTAAGTTTAAAACTGTAGTACTTCAAAGAACCCAATCAGGTAAGCAAAGACAACCCCACAGCATGGAAGAAAATATTTGTGAATTGTGTATCTGATAAGCGACTTGCACCTAGAATGCAGACAGAACTCACACGACTCAGTAATAACAAGACAATCCAACCAAAAATGGGCAAAGGGCCCTTCTGGATCCATGGCCATATTGGCGGCTGCTCGTGCTGGGGGCTGTCCCTCAGCTAAAGCAGGAAGATGTGGCCACAAAGAAGACCAAGAAGGTCCCAACGCGTTATGAAGAGTGGAAAATTCACCCTGGGGTACAAGCAGACTCCAAAAACCATCAGACACGGCAAACGGAACTGCCCAGCCTTGAGAAAATCTGAAGTCTTATGCCACAATGGCCAAAACTGGCGACCACCACCACAGGGGCAGTAGTGTCGAACTGGGCACAGTGTGTGGAAAATACCACAGTATGCACACTGGAATCATCGGGCCAGGTGATTCTGGTCTCATTGGAAGCATGCCAGACAGACTGGTGAAAAGTCAATGCAAACTTTTTCTTTTATAAAACTTGCTTTAAAAATGGGTAAAGTACCCAAAGAGACATTTCTACAAAGATGTACAAATGGCCAATAAGCACATGAAACATGCTCAACATCACTAGTCATCAGGGATGCAAATCAGAACCACAAGGTGCCATTTCACACCCTCGGGGCTGGCTGGAATCAAAAGTCAGATAACAGGTATTGGAAAGAATGTGGAAAAAGCAGAACCCACATACACTGCTGATAGGATTGAAAAATGGCACAGCTGCTTTGTAAAGCTGGCAGTTTCCCAAAATGTTAAACATGTAGTCACCACATGACCCAGCAGTTCTTCTCCCAAGTACATACCCAAGAGAAACGAAGCCATGTGCCCACACAAAGCCTTGTGCACAAATGTCTGTAGCAGCATTATTCATGATAGCCAAAGGGTGGGAACAACCAACATGTCTACTGACAAATGGGTAAACAAATACAGTACTTTCATGCAACAGAGTATTATTTGCCTGTAAAGAGGAATGCTACACGTGAATGAAAGAAGCCAGTCACAAAAGACCAAATATTCATGATTCTTTCGAGAATCCAGAGTAGACACTCTACCTAGAAAGCAGATTGCCGGTTGCTCAGGGCCAGGGTAAGCGGTGAAGAGCAGGGAGTGGGGAGACAGAAAACAACAGCTGCAGGGTCCTTCTTTTTGAAATGATGAAATGTTCTGAAATTGACTGGTGATTGTTACAGGTATCTCTGAATATAGAAAAAACCTCTGAACTGCACACTTCAGATTGATTAGTTGTGTGGTATGCAAATTACATGTCAATAAAGCTATCATACCAATGTTACATTGGTGATAAAATCTGCTTGCTTAAGTTTGAATCAAATAGATAACCTCTGGCAATCACCTCCTAGTTTTGTACTGCCACCGTTCCCATCCCTCACCACACACCTGGCAAAGAAAAGATTTTGTAAAAGCTAAGTAACAACTTGCCAGTAGTGGCTAACTTGTAAAGAAATGCATTTCAGAATCAATGCTCTCAGAATACAGACTGAACGTGACTAAAGTATTTTCTAGGTGCATGTTAGTGGGCTCTATCCCTGTGCCTCAGTCGCTCAGTGAAACTCTCTTACACATCCAGAGATAGAATCCTGCGTATCTTTATGTTATTAACCGAACACACCACAAGGACTCCTAGCCCGCTCACTGCCCCTCTCAGGACCTCAGCTTCCCTAGGCCATCCTCCCTGAAAAGCAATTCTGGCCTCATCTGTCAGTAACCTGACACCGCAAATATTACTGTAATTTTGGGTAGGTTATGTGATGGGTACCACAAGACAGGTGGAAGATACCTCTTAGGTAGAACCACCAAAAGGAGAGATGGAAAATTGGAATGGTGTCTTGAGGAGCGAGTAACACACTGTTTCAATTTTCCATGCTGTACGTTGGCTGGTTCCGTGGTCGTCCCCAGTGACGCCAACCCCACGGAAGCACTCACGTCTCTGTACACAGAGAGGCAGCAGAGTTCTACGGCTGCTTCGTCACAGATGCATGTTCTCTGATCTCCATTTCACTAGTATAGAAAATCAGCGGACTAGGAGACCTAAGATTCCTTTCAAGTCCAAAATCCTGTGATTCCAGGCCATGAAATATTAAACCACATGTAAAAATAGCAAAATGTAGTTAAAATTCTACTTTGGATTAGATACAAAACCACTAAAAAACTAGCTACCTTCAAAAATGCTAGGAAACATCTGTTCCGTAGTGAGAGTACTAAATTCAGTAGAATCAGAGAAAGAACTCCTTCATTTCACAAGAGTGTATGTGAACTAACCACCAGCTGGCAACCGCCTCTCCTTTCCTTCTAACACCCCTCGCTATTTCAACACTGGCATCAAGTAGTCACTTCATAAACCAAACACAAGTCGAATGTAATTACAGTAATTATTCCAACCAAATCTCAGGAGAAAATTCTATTTAATATCCACATTTAAATGCACTGATGATTATAACTGAATTTGTGCCTTAAATGTAGGATATGCTATACACCATATGTAAGAGTCTTCAAAATTAGATGGCTTCTACTTCATGTGTTTGGTTACTGTGTTTTTAAGGGTTTACACAGGCTTTGGCTAATCTCAACTTATTTAACTACCAACTACTGGAAAACAATGCTACTTCCATTGCTATAAAGTGCATGTTAAAAACAGATTTACCTCTACTAATTACTATATATAAAAAAGATTAACAACAAGGTCCTGCTATAGAGCACAGGGAACTATATTCAATACTTGGTAATAATCTATAATAAAAAAGAACATGAAATGGAATACATATATAACTTAATCACTTTGCTGTACACCAGGAAGCAACACAACATTGTAAACCAACTATATACTTCAATTCAAAAAAACGAAAAAGCGGATCTAACTCCTGTACTTATCTACTTAAGCAGAAAGTACAAAACTGTTATCTAAGAGCCAAAGGAAAAAATTATAAAATTACAAATGGTAGTCTAACCTAAGCTACTTTCTTGTTTAGCAGAATATGAAATCTGAGGTGTGAATGAGTTAGTTGAAGCAACATGGTTCATAACTAATGCCTTCTAATGGTCAGATGTCTGGCAGAGAATGCTACTTTACAAGCAATATTATCTTCGAATTTAAAGCCTACAATTCATTTGGCTCAAATCTTGTCTTTGTTACGAAGTAGAAAAATGGGTTTCACGTGTGTGTACTTTGCAGCACTTCCAGGAGAAGGTGTGCTTTTGCAGGTCATAGCTAAAAATGCATGCCTCAGTCCTAGAAAAAATCTTGCAGGCACTTGGAGTGTTCAGTTAGCTGGAACTGAATTTAACAAGTTTTATTCAACAGGTTCATACTTGAGTAATGATGTGTCTAGGTTTCTGATATTTTTCTATTAAATACACCTATTTATACATGACATATACATAGAAAACTATGTCAGTGCACATACTGTCAAAAAGAACACATTAGAAGCATTACACTAAAATTTTTTTTACATTTTTGATATAAAAACAACTGCTATGACAGAGCTAAATATACAAGGCAAATTTAATTTTTAAAGAGGAAAATTACTAGTAAGAATAGTAGCAGAACTCTAGTGAGAAATGAACTGATATATTTTCGAATAAACCATCTTTAGAGAAAAATATTAATTCATGACAGACTATTATAAAGTGCACAAAAAGAAAATTTATTTTAGAATTATACCAAAGGCTCATTATAAATACATGTGTTACACTGGCACAGTAAGGTAGGAATTCTCCGGCCCAGCCTCAGTGATAACACAGCCTTGATTTTAATAGTCTGCCTCTTAGCACATGCTTCAGTTTGTTTCAAAAGCTTAAAATTATAAGCAATTTTCTATGTTGATAGCTTTATGAGTAATTTTGGTAACAGAGTAAAAAAAGTCTTAATCCTTATTTTTGCTAATTCTCTAAAGTCCTGTCAGTCTCTCAAGAAACATCTGACCATTTCCAATAAGAAACTGAAAGGATATTTTCAGACTTTTCAGCAAGTTAAATCATAAATATTTATTGTATGTAAAAAAAATAACAAAATGTAAATTTTAGGACATCTTTAGATTTTAATATGTTTAAGAACATTAAATCGTTTCACCTGTGATGGTGAATTAAAGTGATGAAAAGAATCACTCGTTCAGCCAACTGGTCTACAGTTACTTTCCTAAGAAGACCCATGGATGAAGGAGCTGACGTAAGAACTGTACGGAGACGCTGACTGACAGTCACACCTGTCAGCTACACACACAGCTTCTTACAAAAAGTCAAACTGCTGCAGTCTTTTTATGCTCACTGTTGCTCAATTTAAAGACAAATAGCATGAAGTCACTCACATATGCTTATTTTTCAGTGGCCTCACATGATGACTCTCTGATTTAGATTCATCACATATGCACTGAAGTTTACATTACAAAGGAGAAAAGAAAGAATGTGGTTTCAGAAGCCGAAATCCATGAAGAGGCTAGTAATGACTCCTCTGATGACAGAGTATTAGCAACAGACTGCAGGTATTAATCACAGAAAAAGACTTACCAATATCACAACAAAAGGGTATGATAAATTTTTTCTAAAATACCCAATTCATTTTGATAATGAATCAAACTGACAAATATTTATAAATTGTTTATGTACTTTCGTGTGACATTCATTTTGTTATTAATATTGATGCTTTCCTGGCACTAGTTTTTTCCTATTCTTACATCAAAGTCTTCCAATAAATTTCTGTTAAGTCTCAAATATCACTATAGTTATGGGTAAACCACAAAAGTGGTAACTCACCAAAACGTACTTTCACCTATGTAATAAATAAGTCTGTTGTAAAGCTAATTTCTCCTAATTTATATAAAATAATCCCATTAATCTATGAAAAATTCTGGTCATATTAATTTTAGTATGGCTCAAACCCTTAGAGAAGTATCTTTCTAATTACCTGTTAATGTAAAGAAAACTGAGCACATTTTATACTCATATTTAAACTACTGGCTACCTATAAGCAAAGTAGCATTTATTAAAATAGGATATATATACATTTAATTTATACTAAATTCCACTCAGATTTATATAAGTTTTCATCCTTAATTTTTAAATACACACATCATGATTTGTTTTCAAACGTTATCAGGCAGGTACATACAAAAGTGAAATATGACATCCAAGCCACATTATCATTTTTAAAATAATGAACCTCTAAACAGCTACTACGTACAGTGTGTAAAATTCCAATAAACACAGGCATGTTCTTACAGAAATGTTAATCCTATAATACCGAGCGATATTTACAAGCAAACATGATCCAAACAGCACACGCAGACTCAGGGTAAGTAAACACTCGAACACGAACTGCCAGCCGCACCTGGTCTCCACGGCAGCAGATTATCTCTTCACAGAAAGGAGACCTACAGAAGGAAGAATATGGACTCAATTAAGGAATGAATACAAGTTTTACTTTCTTAATTCCAAGAAAGTCAGTATCAAAATAATTTTTTAAAATTTTGTCTCTGCTACCAACGGATCTGTAATTTTGGTCAAGCTATTCAAATTATAAACTATTTCTTCAGACTCTATAAATTTTAAAAATTACACTAGACAAGATCAGTGGTCCTCAACTAGACTGAGCCAAAATCACTGGGGAAATTATCCCAAGCTCTCAAGAGCTACATTTGAGCCCTCATGAATCACCGTCACAAGAGGATCAGTCATGATAAAAGCCCCGTGTGTGTGATTCTGAAGTCACTCCTAAATAAGCACCAGACTGACCGCTGAGACCCCTACACCAACCACGTTTACGACATCCTAACCACCACCTTACCGAAGACACGTGGCAAACGCACGCCTTGCGTTTCTATACACAAAGTGTATGGGGAACCCTTTGAAGGTGTGCCCATCAGGTACGGCCCTCCGAATGGCATCCTGGAATTCCTCATTGCCTGCAGAGATACTTGTCGTACGCTCGAATTCATACGAAGCCAACGCTGGTGACAAGAGATAGGAGAGCTGGTCTTCCCAGACAGTGGTGAGGCCAAGATCCTAGAGCCACCAAAAGAGGACAGTGAAATACATTATTATTTAAAAACTAATTATAACTAAAATGCTGATTATTTTAATGTATGCCAAGAAAAGATTTTTACAACTTTCTATTAATTATCATAGGGACACACAGAAGTAAAGAATTGAAGGAACTACAGGTGGTATCAGGTTTTACTTTTTAGAGAAATAACCCAGAGGCATTGAACACAATGATGTTAGTGAAACCTCCTAAGCCTATGCTTCCTTAACTTCCACTAGAAGAGACCACGCGGAACAGCCCTACTGCAGAAGACGCAGTGTCATCAACTTCTGAGGTCACGTTTAAAGCTAGAAGAGACCACGCGGAACAGCCCTACTGCAGAAGACGCAGTGTCACCGAATTCTGAAGTCACGTTTAAAGCTAGAAGAGACCACGCGGAACAGCCCTACTGCAGAAGACAGAGTGTCACCGAATTCTGAGGTCACGTTTAAAGCTAGAAGAGACCACGCGAAACAGCCCTACTGCAGAAGACAGTGTCACCAAATTCCGAGGCTACGTTTAAAGCTAGAAGAGACCACGCGAAACAGCCCTACTGCAGAAGACGCAGTGTCACCGAATTTTGAGGTCACATTTTATTCAAAGACTCTAGTAAGACAGGATCTGCTTAATTTGATTGCTTCTCGCAAAAATTCAACCGCAGTAGGGAAGAAAAGTCCACAAACAAATTGCATATGTAATTTAACTCAAATATTCACTCAGTGTTATTCTGTAAAAGGCACTGAAGAACACACGCTTCTGGCTTCAAGGAGCGTAAAACATGCTGGAGGCAATTATAATTTCATTTATAACATCAACTGACTAATGTTACCTAGACACATGGCATTTTTATAAAAATGTCAAACATAAGAAACTCAAAATTCTGAACATTCTGATTATCCTTTCAGACCATTAGCATTTTCTAATTTCAGTTTTAACTGGTTTCAAGTGATCCCAGTCCACGATCATCTATACTCTTCCTGTGGCAAACAAGTGAATCTCACTTCTTGGTTTACAGGCACCGCTGACTTAACTACTGATCAACACTGGTGTCGAGCGGGTTGTCTTCCCTTTCCATACAAAATAATTCTTACACCATAATAAAATACTGGTTTCACTGGTAAATGGGACCTAAGAAAAGGAAACTGAAAGGCAGTATGAGTGACGGAGGGAAAGGGCCGGCAGCAAGCATGACGTGAGCTGCGCCCCCAAACTGCTGCTGAAAACACCACCAATGCCGACTTCAGTATTTTTCAAAACACGCTCAAACACTGACGAGTCGGCAAGCAAGGACGGACGTCCTCAGAGGCCACCGCTAAGGGTGCCTGTAAGCCCAGAGAACATACTGGTACGTCAGCTTGCCTTTGATGGTCTCAAGGCGCACAGAAGCAGAGCTCACCCAAGGTGGGGAGTCTCTCAGGGAATCCACCAGGTGAGTTAGAAAGAAGTCTTCCATCGGAACTTGAGAATCTAGTCCTTTGTTGGTTATATGTGTGGCAAATAACTTTTCTCACCCCAAGGCTGCACTTTCCACTCCCTTAACAGTTTCTTTTGATGAACATTAGTTCTTAAAATATACTAACGTTTTCCTTTATGATTAATGCTTTTTTGTTTTCTTTAGGGCATTTTACAAAAGAAATCTAAATGGCTAATAAATAAGGAGCTTGGGAATCAGGGAAACGTAAAGTAAAGCCACAATGAGGGTATCATTTCATACCAACCTAATTTAGTACAACAGGAAAACAAAACAAACCTGGAAAAAAGTGTGTATGAAGAAAACACAACCCCACACTTTCAGGGGGGAAGGTTAGAATAAGTACTTCACAAAGGACTTATCCAAATGATGGTATCCACAAAAATCTGAACAAGTCCACCATTCCTCAATTCTAGAAGGAAGTGATTAAATTCTAGAAGTACTGGTGAATTTAGAAGTTTCTAAGTCTCAGAACTTACCTCTCATGACTTTCAAACTATAATCTTCATAAAGGCAGGGTCTGAATTTGCTTTGTTTGGGGCTAGAATAGTGATTGGCACTATCTTACAAGCCCCAAAAAACTGTTACACAACATGAGACCATAAATTCCCATATTAATTACCTTCCTGTGCTCTGACACCAGCAGCCTCAGCTGCATCTCTATCTCATTGCTTGTCACCGAGGCATCCATTGTGGAGGCACACAGAGGCGGGAAGGGAGGAAGGGACACTGTGGCTCCTGGAGCACATACAGACTTAATGGCTTCTTCACTCATGGGTTTCCACTTGGATTCATCATTCAAATCAAATACACAGATTTCTACTGAGTCAGAGGGCTGGCAATTCCCCAGGAACATCTGATGGTTGAAAACACAACCAATTGTCCGATACGGGTACAGCGGTTTGGGCTGCTCGGCAGCTGGAGGCTCGTCAGGGCTTGCCGGTTTGTGGATGTACCTGAAAAGTTAGCCATGATTCTGTAAGTAAGGTTTGAAAGTCAAGGCGGCAGTGTGTTACTGATGAAAACCATTATTCTAACATTCTAAGTGTTATGACTAGAGCTAAATACTTGTTTTTCCTTCTTATATTTCCGCAATTTGATTACTCTTTTAATTCCATGGCACAACTTATGATACAGAAGTCAATTTTATTCCTCCAACACAAGAATATATTCTGACTGTACAGCACAGGGAAATACAGTCAAGATCTTGTGGTAGCTCACGATGAAAAAGAATGTGAAAATGGATATATGTATATTCACGTATGACTGAAAACTTGTGCTCTACACCAGAAATTGACACAACATTGTAAACTGACTATAACTCAATTTAAAAAAAAAAGAATGTATTTTGTGTTCATCATTAAGATAAAAAATGTTTTATCAGATAACACAAAATAGTTTAGTTACACATTTTTAGGCTCGATTGTCAACCAGGGAGAAAGAAAACTCAGGAAAATGAGGAGAGGGCCCGGGGCGTGCCTTCAGGAACTCCAGCACTTGAAGACAAGACAATGGAAAACAGAGAGCAGCCAGAGGGGAATCACAGCCAGGACAGTGCCCTAAGCAAAGCTAAGGAGGGAAAGCGACCCAGGAGGAAGAGCATTTCACTCTCCCAAACCCGCGGACACCAAAACAGACGTACAGAGGGTTACCAGCATGGAGCTGGTGACCACGTCAGATTTCCAAAAGAAATCATGATTTACAATTTGAATTTATTTCAGGGATGATTATTAGAAAAAGCAAATGCCAATTATACAAAATTAAGAGTAAATATAATATATTTTTTACCCATGTCATGCTGGTAAAGCACATTTTAAGTATACCAATTCTCTCACCGTTATCTAACAGCTTTCTTTACAGAGGTGATTTTTACACAGTCATCAAAAAGGCTCGAATAACTGAAACTATCGACACGTGCCTCTGACTACCATCAACATCAATAAACAGCCTCACATTTAAAAGTTACACTTTCATTTTAGTATCTTTGTAAACCGAGCTCACAAACCTGTGCCCTGTTAAGCTCTCCCAGAAAGTGATGGCTCCATCAGTCCCACAAGTCATCACCCATGCGTGGGGCACTCCCTTTGCCTTGGTCCCGACGCAGACGAAGGCCTCCAGCCCGAACCCAAGGAGCAGGCTGCACAGGAGGGTGGCGTGGTCTTCACAGTCACCCTGGAAAACGGAATGAAGGAAGTTCAAGTTACTGATCCCTTCATCTGGTTTCCTCATTAAAACTGCAATTAAAAAGTACTCTTAAATTCTTTGCTTTTAGTCATGAACCTAGTGTTAAGCTGAAATAATGAGGGGAAAGAATGTACAAATTTTAAAAGACCCTGTATTACAAAGTCAGTGCCCATAAATCTGACAGTCCTAAGTTTATAAAGAACTCATACAACATAGAAAGAAAAACAGTAAGATGTAAAAGATGAATAGCTCAAGGACGTGAACACAGCCGCCAAGTCATACAGCAGGAAACGTAAGCAAGTGGGAAGACACTCAGACCACGAAACACAGCGTCTCTACAGGGTCATTCTAAGAAAATACACGCACAGGAGAGGGGACTGGGTGACAGAGCAGCAGCATGCCGACAACGGCGATAATCAGGGTGGGCGATGAGTGATTCCCCCTTCTGCTTCCCACACTCTCTTTGATAATGCTGTATTACCTTCACAACCCAAAAAACTACGACAACTACAAAAAAAGTCTGCTTGTATGTTCTGTGAAACAGCATTACTAAAGGGTTAAACAGGAAGGCTACAATCATGTGGAGGTGTGTATTTACATGCAGAACTGCAGGTAACACACAAAAGCAAAGGTAACTACTAGAGTGCAGGGTCAGAACGAGGGACGATCTTCCTTCCCCTCACACTGTGCATTAGTACAATTAACACTTTTTCACTGTTAAATTGACTTTTGAAAAATATAATTTCCAACCTTTTAGACCAAGTTTTTTCTATATACTGAAATTTTGACTTTAAAAAAAATCAGAAGAAAGATAATAATGCAACCAACAATATTCAATGCAAAAATCGACTCATAGTGATACCAACAGAACGGGAAGCAAGCCTAAGCCGGCCAAAGGAACAGCCCCTGTGACGGCTGAACAGTGACAGTGCGTTACCAGCTCGTGAAAACCTTACTCAGACATTAAGGATGGCGATCACAGTGGCTGCAGCAACAGGAGGGAAAGTGTTCACGGTATAAATGCTGAACTAGAGAGCAGGACACAGTTTTATTTGTATCGATTATAATTATGGAAAAATGATACACACACAGGAGAAAAACATAAAAATACAGAAACAGATGAAAAATAGAATTACAGGTGAAATTTCCCCCTTACTGTTGTAATGCTATTGTTTGTGCAAGAAAAATATTTTAAGTGATTTTCAAACTTCTAAGTTAAGATGTGCTTTCTCTTCAAACAAACATAGGTAAACAAAACAGTGAATCAAAAGGATGATTACTTGCTTTACAAAAGAATTACTTACATAATAATTTTAAGTGTGTACCATTACTACTATATTTGAAATAAAAGGTTTAAATCTATACACATAACTTTGGGGGACTACAACTTGGGAATAAATGAAATTTTTTTTTGATAAGTAATGTTTAACTGCTTTCAATTGCCTTTAAGACAAAATCTTTCCAACTGACAAATCCATCTTTAAATAGTTTCTTCCATTGTGTAAGATTTGCCTTGTGAATACCCATATACACTATTTCCACAAGTTCAGACTAAAAATTCTTTCAAAGTAATAATACATTAAAGAAATCCCTCTTTTTCTCTTCTGTTTCAACAGTTGAAATGTTACAGTATTGTTTTTATAATATTATCAATATTATTGCAACACAGATTAGGAAATATTCCATAATCTATCAAATTGATTTACTGAAATCAATTTATTTACATTTAACATCAATATATGTACACAAATTCTTAAGTATATACTTATACTTGAAACTAAACAAAATACCATACAATCCAAGGTTTTTTTTCCATTTTCATTTTGTACTGCTATTTTCTCTTTAAGGAAAAAAGTACCAACTAAGCAAATTTTAACCCATAAATAGTACAGGAAGACCATAGTTCCGGTCCTGGTGTTGTCTTCAGTTCACTGTTTAATTTACCTCTCAACCTGGGTTCTGACATTGTAGTACTTGTGAGTCCCAACCTCACAAAAATAGTATCATGTTAAAAAAGAAACTACATAAAAAATAAAGATGCTTAGTTTTTACTTTATGTGTGGACATTTAAATGTTAGGGAAAATGCACATCAGTAAAATTAAAAAAAGAAAAAGGAGAAGTTAACAACCAACACCACAGAAATACAAAGGATCATAAGAGACTACTATAAACAACTACATGGCAATAAAATGGACAACTCAGAAGGAATGGACTAATTCTTAGAAAGGTACAATCTCCCAAGACTGAACCAGGAAGAAAACTGATCGATTTAATTACTGAAATTGTATCAGAAGTTACAAAGCACCCAACAAACTAAAGTCCAAGACCAGTTGGCTTCACAGATGAATTCTACCAAACATTTAAGGAGAGTAAACACCCACCCTTCTCAAACTATTTCAAAAAAATTGCAGTGAAAGGAACACTTTCGAACTCATTCTATGAGGCCAGCGTCACCCTGATACCAAAACTAGACAAAGCTTATCACACACACAAAAAAAAATTACACACCAATATCCCTGATGAACATAGATGGCAAACATCCTCAATAAAACACTAGCAAACCTAATCCAACAGCACATTAAAAGGGTGACACACCTCGATTAAGTGGGGTTTAACCCAGGGATGCAAGGACTTTTCAACACCCACAGATCAGTCGATGTGATCCACATTAACAAACTGAAGAATAAAAACCATATGATCATCTCAACAGATCGGAAAAAGCTTTTGATAAAATTCAGTATCCATTTATGATAAAAATCCCCGGAAAGTCGGCATAAAAGGAACATACCACAATATAATAAAGGCCATGGATGACAAACCCACAATTAATAACACCATACTCAATGGTGAAGAGCTGAAAGCACGCCTGAAATCAGGAACAAGACAAGGATGTCCACTCTCGCCACATCTATTCAACATAGTTTTGGAAGTCCTAGCCACAGCATTCAGAGAAGAAAAGGAAGTAAGAGAAATCCAAATTGGAAAAGAAGAAGTAACGCTGTCCCAGAGAAAATCCTAAAGATGCCACCAGAAAACTACTAGCGCTCATCAATGAACTCGGTAAGACTGCAGGATAGAAAATTAATATACAGAGATCTGTTGCATTTCTATGCAATGAACTATCAGAAAAAGAGATTAAGGAAACAATCCCATTTACCACAGCAACAAAAAGAATAAAATATCTAAGAGTAAACCTACCCAAGGAGGTAGAAGACGTGCATTTGGATGCTGTAAGACACTGATGAAAGAGACTGAAGGGGACACAGACAGACAGAAAGACACAGTGTCCTTGGATTGGAAGAATTAATATTGTTAAAATGACCATAATACCCAAGGCAGACTACAGATTCGGTGCAAAAACTATTAAAATACCAATGGCATTTTTCACAGAACAAAAATAAGTAATTTAAAAATTTGTGTGGAAGCACAAAAGACCCCCAAATAACCAAAACAATTCTGAGAAAGAAGAACAAAGCTGGGAGAGTTAAGCCTTCTGACCTCAGACTATACCACAAAGCTACAGTCATCAAAGCAGTCTGGTACTGGCACGAAAACAGACACATAGATCAACGGAACAGAATAGACAGTCCAGAAATAAACCCACATATTTATGGTCAATTAATCTATGACTACAGAGGCTAGAATATACAGTGGAGAAAAGACAGTCTCTTCAATAAGTGATACTGGGAGAACTGGACAGATAGTGTGAAAGACAGAAATTAGAACATTCTCTAACAGCATATACAAAAATAAACTAAAAACAGATTAAAGACGTAAATGTAAGACCAGATACCATAAAACTCCTAGAGGAAAACATAGGCAGAACTCTTTGACATAAATAGGAGCAGTAATTTTTTTGGATCCATCTCCTAAAGAAAACAAAAGCAAAAATAAACAACTGGGACCTAATCAAACTTAAAAGCTTCTGCACAGCAAAGAAAACCATCAACAAAATGAAGACAACCTCCTGAATGCAAAAATACTTGCAAATGATGTGACCAATAAGGGGCTAATATCCAACATGTATAAACAGCTCATACAGCTCAACATCTAGAAAACAAACCCAATTAAAAAATGGGCAGAAGAACTGAACAGTCAGTTTTCCAAAGGTAACATCCAGATGGCCAACAGACACGTGAAAAAATGCCAAACATCACTAATCATCAGAGAAATGCAAATCAAAACCACAAGGAGTTACCACCTTACACTGGTCAGAATGGCCATCATCAAAAAGAATACAAATAGCAAATGCTGGCAAGGATGCGGAGAAAAGAGGACCCCTGGACACTGCTGGTGGGATTGTAAATTGGTGCAGCCCCTGTGGAAAACAGCATGGAGGTTTCTCAAGAAACTAAAAATAGCATCACCACATGACCCAGAAATTCCACTTCTGGGTACGTATCTGGGAAAAAAAAAAGAAAACACTAATTCAAAAAGATACATGCACCCCACGTTCACAGTACATTATTTATAGTTGCCAAGATATGGAAGCAAACCAAGTGTCCAGCAACAGATGACTGGATCAAGACGTGGTTTACTTATACAATGGAATACCATTCAGCTATAAAAAAATTATGGAAATTTCCCTTTTGGGATAATTGGAGGGTATTATGCTAGTGAAATAAGCCAGACAGACAAAGACAAATATTGCATGATTTCACTTGCACGTGGAATCTGGAAAATACAACAAACTAGTGAACATGACTCCCCTCAAAAGAAAATCAGACACAGATCTAGAAAGCAAACTAGTCGCTGCCAGTGGGGAGAGGGAACAGGTGGGGGATTAAGAGGCACAAACTATTTGGTATAAATTAAGCTACAAGTATGTACTGTCCTACACAAGGAATGAAGCCATATTTTATAACAACTGTAGACGGAGCACACCCTTTAAAAATTGTGACTCACTACATTGCATGCCTGTAACCTAAACTGTCCATCAGCTGTACCTCAATTAAAAAATAATGAATGAATAGCAGGGAAAATGGTGAGAACAAGACCCTGACTTGTTCACACTGACAATACGTAACTGCTTTCCTAAGTTAATTTTGTAACCAGTGCACCACCATTCACGATGGCTAGGATGTGCCGCGTCTGCACCACGTGCAAGGTACCTTGTTCCTGCAGAGAAAGGCCAGCAGAGTGCACCACTGCTCCTGTCTGCCCCCTCCTCCGATAACAGGGGCTCTTTCATAGCCAAGGACGTTGACAAACCTTGCCGCTTGCCTTGGAGTATCCAGAAGCCTCCCAGCTCGAAGTGGTTTGACGTAAGAACAGACTGGTCTGTTTATCCCATTTTCATCCTGGAGGAGAAGGGGAAAGCATTGCCTGTAACAACAAGTTAATCACGCCCAGTTTTACACCTTTTCTTAGAACGCATCACTGTGGGAGAAAGTGACTCTGGAAGCCACTTACTGAGGCTTACCCTGCGTCCAGCACAAGGCTGCAGAGTGCCATGCACACACTTTTTCCTTTAGTCCTCTTAGCATCTCTTATTTTCACTTCTTAATAAAGACACTGAAGCTACAGCTATCATGCAACAGACCCAGGGCTCAAACCCTGAGCTGTCTGCCTGCAAAGCCCTAAACCATCGTGTGACCCAGCGACCCCACTCCTGGGTATGCGCCCAAAGCAGCTGAAACCGGCGTCTCAGAGAGGCACCTGCACACCCCCCAGTGACCCCACTCCTGGGTACGGGCTCAAAGCAGCTGAAACCGGCGTCTCAGAGAGGCACCTGCACACCCCGCAGTGCTCACAACAGCTGAGGCACACAAACAACCTCAGTGTCCAGACAGACGACTGACACAGCGGAGCATCTTTCAGCTCTCTAAGGACCATTTCTCCCATCTACTTCCTCCCTCCGTGGCCCAGGCCTCTCTGGTCTGGGACTCCACATGGCAATGAGTAACTTCACCTGAGACTAAGCAGACAACAGGGAGCCATTGTACTCTGCTGGTTTCTCATCACCCTTGCCCTGACATCACTGCTACCTGCCTGCCCAGTCATTCCATGCAAAATGCTTTGCACAGTCTGAAGCCATTTCCCTAACCTCCACCACCAATCAGTGAGCATCTCCCCTTCCTGAGCCCCTCAACCAGAAACTGAACCACTCACAGCCTGCACCACAACCTAGGGGACACAGGGTAAGGTTAAACCAATGCATAGGATTGAGGAAATACTACACCGTTCTTATATGAAAGCACCTATGTGAGGCTGAAAACAAAATATTTGAATAATTCCTCAGAAGTTATAAAAAAAATCAATCTGATCATTTATCTTATGTTGGTTCACGGATGAGAGAAATGGGCTTAGGATACAGAAAAAGTAGATGCAGAGATATAAGCTGAAATGCTGTCGTTAAGTATCCCTGGTCACTGGCTTAGAGAGCCTGGTCAAATAGAATTATTACATATAATATTGCTTCCTTTAAAAAATACCCTAACCAAAAAAAGAAAAAAATACATGCCTACTGCACCAGTTCTGAACATGAAAGCCGAATTTACGTGTGAACTGCAATGTCCTAGCACTCAATTATTTAGTACTAAGGATCAATGAAGGACACACTCCAAGTTAAACAAAGTTTTCATCTAGTTTAAATCAAATATATTCAAAAAGGGTTTAGAAAAACAGTAACTGAAAGTGAAAAAAATAAAACAAAGATTGTGTTATGTTGCCTGCTTACTACTGTAAGAGTATCATAAAATCATAAAATCAGCATTCTACATTACAAATAAACTTCTATTTGTCTGGAATAAATACAGTCTACAAATTCAAGCTAAATGAAATTTCCACACACAACAGTAAACCTCAAGCACAGGTGTGCAGCTTTTCTCACACAATTTACAGACCTGTGCAAAAATCTTCACCAGCCGTGAGCTGTGCGAGGGCCGTATTTGCAAATACTCTCTCCACCACTGTTTGGCATATACAAGAAATAACCGCTCTTTCTCTGCAGTTTTCTGACGTTCCAAAGCAAGCTTGAAATTAAAAAAAAATAATTATCAATTTACACTCATTCTCTTTAATGACTGCAAATTATGTAACAAATCTAGGCTCTTCCTCCAGCCCTAGTCTAAGCTGCCATCACCTCTGGTCTGCAAGAGCCTCCTAGCCTACCGCCCTGCTCTCCTCCACACACAGTCAGAGGGATCTTTTCTCCCCAGACAGAAATGCTTAAATAATGAATCATACTGTCATTCTCTCGCTTAAAACTAATAAATGATAAATTTCTAAAAAGAGAACACTTTCTAGGATTAATGGGTAAATATACTATGAGAACAAACACAGGAAGAAGAGAAATTCAGAGTTACTCACCTGTGTGTTCACTACTTCCTGTGATAATGTCTGATTGAGTGGTGGGTACATCTCAAGTTTTACATTTAAAATTCCCACAGAAACTTTCGATTCTGTGCCTGTAAATGTAAATAAATATTTAGAACTTCAGAGATTTCAATATTATGTATATTTAGTCAACCGAAGTTCAACCAAAATAACTTAAGAATTTTGTGCTTTATTACTTCCCTGGAATAAAGACAATATTCATGATAAAAATGAACCAAATCACTTTTTATTTTGTACAAAGGCCCTTACCTAGTTATAAGGAAATTACGTATTTTTGTAGCTTCCTAATCACATTTTAAGGAACTTTTCAGACCTAAAAGATTCAGAATTCTTAATTTTTATCTTCACTAAATATATAATACTACCTAGACTTACATTAAAAACAGAGTCAAAGCAACTGCTACCACCTCATTCTCAGTATATACTTTGTCACAGACAGTAATTCCCGCTTATCCCTTCCCATTTTTCACATTAAATGTGAGTACAAATTTTCCATCCACGTATGGATTCAAAGAATTAGAAAACAAAAATACTTCATAGCAGAACGATTTAATATTTTTTGGTGGAACAGAAATTTCTGGGTTATTACTATGATTATCATGTTAGGCTTGTATTTGAAGACAAATAATGGGTATCTCTTTTGAAAATAATCTCTTACATAAAACTGTTTCCCTCCATTTTACTGAAGAAAAAACATATTCTGGATCTAACAAATCAAAATCTAAATTACTAAAGCTATGCTGTCTACTGGCTAGGTTTAATTCTGTAACCAAGCTTCAATACCAGAGTAATTCAATTACATGTACATAAAACAGTGTAGGTTCCATTTTGTTTTTCACTGAATTAGCAAATATGTATGACGTTATCAGGTAGCATGCAAGAGTCCAGGGCAACAGTGACTAAGACAGGCACCATCTCTGTGCCAGCCGGTGAAACAGACACTGAGCAGGTTACACGCCTTTGTAAAAGGTCAGTGGAGCATCGACTCCGCGCTCTGCAGGAACCGCTGGTGCAGGAAGCTCCTGGAACTGAGGGGATTGTTGTATTCCAGGGTGTGCTGGAAAGGGGGTGTCTGCGTGCGGGTGCACACGTGTGTGTCTGTGCACACACATGAGTGTGTGAAGGACAGGGAAATGTTGATTCTCTCTATAGCCTTACATGTAATCAGATAAACTGGGGGTGGGCGTGGGGGCGGGGAGGCCTCAAAATTTCTATATGCATCTCCCAGGGGCAAAAAGTTTCCTTAAGACAAGGCTAGAGTGACAGTGAGGTGCTACACTCACACTGTCCTTGAGGACATTTTCCAAGACGACAACACTGGAGTCCAGTTGTAATTCTAATTAAATTCTTTTTATGTTTCCCTCTTGGTTTACAAAGGCATTCTAAAAATGTAAAACTTATTTACAAACAACTTGGCTGTAAAAATGTAACAGTGATATTAATCATCATACCTACACCCATAAGTTCCACAGTAAGACTGGTCACTCCATTTTCCGAGCCCAAAACCGATCGCCATTCCAGAAAATAGGATGCTACTAAAGTGGTCTCACCGAATATGTCTGTTTTGATCAGCACCATGTGAACTGGATCACTTATTGATAACATTGCTGTTGAATCAGCCATTCTAGTTCCATCACCTAGTAACGTAAATCAAAAAAAATTACACATTACATATCATTAGGCCAACACCAAAGAGTACTTTTACTGAAAAGGATACTAGTCATAAACTTATATAAAACCAAATAAATGCCTGAGAAAGCATGCAACAGACTAGGAATAAAAGTGGTCCTGTTTCTACTGCCAACTTTTGAGAGAACTCACAGAACTGTTACAAGTGATGCAGTTAACGCATGTCAGTGTTTTCCGATCGCAAACAGCTAAGTCTGCTCCTTAAACGTACACAAATAAAGTATATACTTCTACAATAAAAAGCCTTACAAATGTGCCAGCATTTTTCCCCAAAGCACCTTTATCCCTAAACCTCTAGAAATAACCAGTGAATGTTCTACACAAAACTGAAAGATCCAACATGTTGGAGCTAGCGATTTAAGCCATTAACCTCCTTATTTAGGTAACATTTTTCGCCGGGGGAAAAAAAATTTTAGTAGTACATTGGCCACCTCAATAATCTAAATCTGAACATACAATTCCACAACTTTATTATAAAGTTTACAAATACATTATAATTATTTTGACATTGACAAGTAAAATGTGTAAGATACCTTTATAGAAAGAAACAGTATAAAATGATTACAGTAATCAAGTATCATAAAGTTATAAAAACGAGAGTTACAGAGTCAGATCTAAACTTTGATAACATGATAAATCTAGCCATCCTTCGTAAATGAGAAGGATCATGTGTCACTCTCCACTATAACCCCAGCTTAGTTCCATGCACCTAAAGGGCATTTAAATTCTTATTACTAAGGAACAACCATTAAAACCATCAAAAAAATAGTCTTCAGGGAAAATTAATTAGCAGAAAAAAAGCAAGAAAGTAGGTAGAAGTAGTTTACAAAGAAAAAAGCAATGAGGGAAAACAGAACAAGAGATGGGGGAGATGAGCCATTACGACTCTCACCTCATGCAGAAGTTATTGTGATTGTTCTGCAATAAGATTTAACAAATATTTACAAAATTAAATGACAGTTTATTACTGCCTTACCTAAGTTTTCTCTGTGGACTTCAAGTAAAAAGCCATCATGAAAATCTGGTTCACAGGCACATGGAACAGGTTTAGAACGAAAACGTTGATTTCGGAAATGTAAACATAAAGTAAACGTTGAACAAGCTTGTCCTGGTAAAGGCTCAGGTTCCTGCAGATGTTCCAAGAAAGCTTTTCCACCCAAAACCTGAAGGTAAAGATACCTCCGTGTTGGATCAATATTAGCTGTAAAGTGTAGCAATATATATGAGGAAACTGCCAATTAAATTAAGGAATGTGATCAAGACAATAGGAAATAATAACTTGACAGAAATAAAACCAAATACTAAAAAAGGGAAGAGTAACAAATTTACTATATGCCAGGACCACCTGCACCCAGGGAAGAAAAGATACATAATATGATATCCTTTTCCAAGTTTACACCCTGGCTGCTTTCTCCCAGCTGGAAAGGGGTCAGAGCCAACGTTTAGGATAACTTTGCTTTTTAGTTGCTTATCCAACAGTCCTTCACCTCCACAAACCAACCCAGACAATTATCAACTCAGCAAGTACTAGATAATTACATTACCATTAAAAAGCAAAGCTGTATAATTTATAAAAAATATTACTAAAACATGAGAATCAGGTGGTCCTGGTTGCTTCCACTCTGCTATACATTAAATCTTCTGATACACTTCATGCAATATAGAATCTACAGTTTTTAGATGATTAATCACAAAAACATAGGACTTCATTCTGGAAAAAAACTGAATTGCTTTCTATCAAATACAATTACAGCACGTTAATATGCAGTACCGCCCACAACCAAATCAATCTTAAAGAGAAGCACATACTTTTTTTTAACAATGTTGATTGTCTGTCAGTAAAGCAAACAGGTTGTTTTGGAGACGAAGGGGGTTCTTGATCAACATTATCCTAGAATGCCAGAAGAAGATCAAGACAAATTAGAAAACAATTATAGTTAAGCAATGAAATGCCAATAATGGGACTAAAAACTGAACCAAAAGCAGATATGATGAAGCCCCTCAAAAAAGTCCTCAGTTTCCCAGCATAGTTAAAATGATGAAAAGCTGCACAAACAATAATGCAACTGGTCACTCCTGAAGTCTAACATGAAGGAATTAATGGTGTTCCAGCCATGTCCACAGAATGCTAGAAGAAATCCTTAACACTCAACACAAGATAAAACTTTCTCCAAACCTCATATAACATCTGGCTTACGATTCCACCAGGAACGGAACTGAATTTACTAAGGAAGCGGCATTCACACAGCAAAAGCTGCTACAGGTCTATTTTTATAACAAATGACTTTATAAACCTCAAAAACCAAAAAAGGATGCTGTATTAAAATACATAGTCCCTGGTGTATTATGAAGTCCACCTAATTTTTACATTACCCATGTATTGAGGTCACAGTGTCTCATTATTGCCTCATTTTCAAAAGAAGACCTACTTACTAATTTGTGCACTGAGAGGCTATCACGCCACTACTGACCCATTTGTATGAAAAGATTTGGAAGTTCTTACTCAACTACTTTCTTAAAGAAACTGATAATCTGTTACTCTTACAGAATATAGTACCAAAAGTTCATGTTTACTTTAAAAATAAGTGTTATCTATAAGAAAAGTAACATACATATGTATACATGAATCACAATGTACATCAGAAATTAACACAATATTGTAAATCGACTATAATTCATTTTTAAAAAGTCTAACCTAAAGAAAGTAGAATATTAGTGAAAAAGAATTAGGTTAGGGTGAACTAATTTGACTGAAAAACACATAAAGTTACAGACCTAGAAAATAACAAGAGAAAACTCTGGTCACTGTTGAGGAAGTAATACGGTCCCTAACTCCAGTTTCATTGCTACATAATCATACTTGCTACATTCAAGGGTAGACTAAGCTCCTTACCAGACAAATGGTCTTCCTTAAAAAATAGTTTTACTGAAAGGAGAGGCCCCAAATATGTACCGTATGAGCAATGTTAAGCATGAGAATATACTTAATAGTCTCAAAAAGTTTCCCCTGAATGATTACTCACAGAAACAAAATTAAGTTCTTTCATCACATCATCAATGATTCCCCGGCGTTTAAGGGCTTTGATCAAATCTTCCGTTGATAACTGTTGTTGATCAGGTGCCAATTCTTCCCGTATGGTCTCAGCCAGGATTTCTCTTATCCTACCATGGACATCCATCTGTGCGGAAAACTCGCATTACAATTTACACTACAAAGCAGTTAACAGTTACCAATTTGCTAATTTCTTTCTAAAATACGGACTCGAAAAAATAATAATGGTGAGAGAGTAGAAAAATTCAGGAAGGCTTCTCAAGTGATAGTAAATGCTACAATATAACTGAAATTCAATGAGAACAAAGGTAAGATTTTTAAAAGGAAAAAAAAACTTTCAAGACTTATCTTTTCAGTACAAATCCCAGAAATAATCTGTACTGGTTACCTACTTTGCTACTAGTTCCCCACAAACAGCACGCAACCAAAACGAGTCTGTGGAGAGTGTCGTATAACCAGGAGAGCAGAGGCCTGGAGGAGGCGACGAAGTTCGGACATCAGCCTCCACGCCGGAGACGTGGCCCTGAGTTAACTCACTGACCCTTCACGGACCGAGGAAGCAGGACCGCGGCGGCGCCGAGAGACGCGGCGAGGCCGGGGCGCCCCCCGAGCCGCGGGGCCCTCGCTGAGCCCCGAGCACCAGCGGCACCTCCAGCACAAGCTGCTCCGACACCGCCTTCCCGGGCGGCAGCGGCCGCCCGCCCGCCTCACCTTGCTCAGCTGCTGGTGGATGAGCTGCT